GATGCGGAGGAATCAGAGCGTTTTTTCGGACTAACCTATCCTCATAAGGACATCTCAACCACACCCCCATCTTTCTCATTTTTTTTTTTTCAAATTTTCAGGCCCAACAAAAAAGCGAAAAACAAAAAAATGGGAGGGGGTGGCGGGGGAACACTATTAATGAAGAAGAAGACGATGAGGATGATGGTATTTTGTTAACAAGCCAATTATCCAACAAGATTCTTAAATTTTTGTAATTTGTCTTGAATAATCCACAACCTATAAAAAAAAGATTTATATAAAAAAAAGTGTCAATGATGAAGATGAAAGCAATTAACCGCCCCAAAAAAAGAAGTCAGTTTTTTTTTCTTTCAATTGAATTAAATTTGAGAGAGAGAGAGAGAAGACGTACACTTGATTGATCCCGTCGATTTCCTGATTCCCGTGCAAATGAGGAAGAGGGTTGGCAGGATGAAGATTGAGGAGCTGAGGACTCAAGCCCAACTTCGATTTCCTGGATGCCAGATGGAGATAACAGAGATCAAGGACGCGATCGAAGTACTGTGCAGTTTGTTGATCCTGTATCCACAAAAACAACCCCCCCAAATAAGTATAAAAAAAAAAACAAGAAAGGAGTGAAAAGAGAAGAAGAAAAGAAAACAAACGTGTTCATCAATAGCATTGATACAGCTCCAGATCCAGCGCAACTTATTAAGTCCCTCGTGGCCCAAAGACGGATGAAACCGATCAACGACGAGTTCCGAATGATGCTGAGGATGATGGTGGGGGTTCTGATGATGATGATGATGATGGTCGTGATGAGAGTTGAGACGGAGGAGATTATCGAACGAGTTAGGCACGGCTAGGTCTTGCGAGAGTTGATGGGCCAGGGTGAGTAGAACGGGTTGAGAGAGCAAGGAGCGATGTTGGTTGGACGGAAAGATAATCGCCAATCGATCTTCCTCTCCCTCTCCTGCTGAAGTTTGATGATGATTATCGATTAATTGGTCGAGTAAATCCGACGATCGGTCGCCCAAAGCTTCCAAGAAAACCTGCTCGTAATCCGTATGAGTAGAGAACCTTCGACCTCGTTCTCCATTCCTTTCTGAGAATGAAGGGGTTGGGTCTTTGAAAGGAGGTGGAGGATGAGGAAGAGGAAGAGGGGTTTGAAGATGATGAGGAAGAAGAGAAGGTTTCACGTCTTCTTCTTCTTCTGGTTGTTGTTGTTGAAGTTTATTATCAGATTGATAAGCTTGATGAGAATGGTGATGATGAGGAGGAGGAAGAGGAAGAGGCGGAAGAGGCGGGGGATGGGGCTGATGAACAGAACTGGCAAGCTGAGAAGTCTCAGAGAGTCTGAGCCCAGGATGCTGCAAGTTCTTGACGAGTTCTTGCAACTGAATGAGCTCGATCCGGAGCTGATTGAGATGATCTTTCTCGACCACTTGGTCCTTCAACACGCGCACCTGAGTATTCAAGTCACGAATCTCTTGGACTAGGAGCTGAGTCAAGCCTTGATCAGCACTGGTAGTCTCGGCAATCGTCTTGCTGATCATTCGCTCTAGCTTCGATTCTTCAATCATCTTATCCATCCCTTCTTTGACGGACTCTCTGATCATCTCTTGAATCGACGTCTTCTTCATCACTCCTTCGATCTCTTTTCCTAGATGCTAAGCAAACGAACAAAGTTTCTTATTCAATAAAGGGTAGATCTGACAGGCAAGAGTTAAATTTGTACCTTCTTCAAGCCTTCCTGAACAGCAAGTCGAACTCCATCAATGATCTTCAGATCAGAATCCGATGGCTCCCGATTCTGATTCGGATTACGATCCCGATCCCGATGATTATCATTAACCGCAAGGGTGGCTTTGACTTGCTCCTTAACGATCTGACCTAAATTCTTTGAACTTAAACTGGTCGAAAGGATATTCAGAAGATGTTCATGACGACGAGTTTCTATCTCTTGTTGAGCCAAGAATTGGTTCCTTAATTTCTGCTCTAAGATCCTCCCCCAGAATACACACACAAACAAATCAGTTTAGTTTGTCAAGTGAGGAGAAGAGAGAAAAAGGGGGTTGGGGGTTGTTGTTTTTCTTACCTTGTTTATCTAAACTCTTTCCTAATAAATGATGGACTTGTTCGATGACCGAAGTCCGATTTTTTTCCAATTCTTTATAAAAAAGAGAGCCATCAAATGAAGGAGGAGCTTTTTGATCGACCGGGGCAGAATTAGATGAAGAAGAAGGAGGAGGGACACTGAGGGAAGGATGAAGAGAGGCAGAAGAAGTAGATTGATGATGAGTTGATCGACGAGGTTTAAGGTCTTGTTTTGATGAGGTCGAAGGAGGTATAGGTTTCTTCGAGTCAAGGTTAGATGAGTCGACTGGATTAGCAGTGACTGATGGGGGGAGGGGTTTCGATTTCGGATCGTCGTCGGAAAAGTCAAGGACCTCAGCCTTTTGGACTTGATGTTCGACATGAACATCGACGAGGATTTCGCCAGCAAGAGATCGACTTCGAGTTGGAGGAACAGCCAGTTGAGAGGGATTAGGTTGTTGATCGGATTGAGTTTGGAAGTCGATGAGATCTTTGGGAAGATAGAGTTGATGGATACCTTTTGGATGGAGGTTGAAGACGGAGACTGGAGAGGAGGAGGGGCCGGGGGGAGGTCTCATGCCTTGATCGAGAACGAAGGAGATGATAGGGTCGGGAGAAGGGACTTCGGAGATCTGGTCGACGAACATCGTCCTAGAGGCGATCCAGGAGTTCGAACGACTACGTTGCATCTGAGAGGATTGACGAGTCGCGGCAACCCGTTCGATGTAGCTGGCATCGTCGTCCGATGGTTGTGTGCCTGCGCCGAGACGAGGGCCTTCGGAGTGGCCCGGCTTGAGAAGCAAGAGCTCGTCGTCGGCCGACGAATTCTCACAAAAGTTGAGGTGGAAGGCGAAGATCGAGCCCCGAAGAGAGTTGGAAAGGAGGACGGTACTGTACTGAGCCTGCCAGGCGGAGTGGCCGAAGCAGGGCAGAAGGGGCAGGTCGTCGACCGGCTCCGGTGGATGCAGAGTGATCCCAATGACCACCTCCGAGATTTCGCTCAACTGGACCGCCTCCACCCTGGTCCCAAATCGCTTGGTGATCAGAAATCCTTTGATGACTCCCGCCGATGTTGCCAGGAACTCTAAACGTGTGATCGATCCATGGCTCGATGGCAGTTGGCCACCCATGATCGTCCAGTGCGGTTTGGAGGTCTGTCGTACTGTCAGCATCTTATCTTCCGTCACGAATGCAAACGCAGATCCATCCGGACTGAAGGCAAATGCGACCACCTATGTAGATAATAGCCCGATCAGTAAGATTTTTTCAAAAAAAAGAGGCAAGAAAACAGGTGTTAAGACTCACATCAGAATTAGTGCGCAGGACGTCTTGACCTTCGAAAGCTTCGAGTTCTGAGAGGGATTTACCCAGAGGAGTACCACGTTTCCAAGAGGCAGCAAAAGCGCCACGATCGAGTCTGACGAGGATCAACCGATGATCATTAGTGGAAAGGAGGAAGATACTAGGATCGTGAGGGTGCCATCTGATAGTAGAGAATCTAAGATGACTGGGAGCTTGTAGGAGTTCTTTCTCCGGACCGAGTAAGAGGTCTGAGTTGACTGAGAGGATGTCGGCCAAGATCTCATAGTTGGCTGTATCTTCATCAAATCTTACTGGGACTTTCCAGATCACTAATCTTCCATCTGATCCGGCACTAGCAATACATCTCCACCTACGACTGCTGGTCGTATTGCTATTGAGATCACCAACCACTGCCCTAGGTCTTCCGATGCACATATCTAGAACGGGGCCTTCGTGTTTCCTTAATAACATTCTTGCCCCACTGTTCTGATCGATGACTCTGATCCGACCAGCCTTGGTAGCATAACTAATGAATCCGTCGACGGCGACCCTATTACCTGGGGAAAAGACCATACTCGAGGGGAAGAGTGTGATCGGTAGGACGTGTGGGGCTGGTTCGGCTGTATAGAGGATCTCGGGATTGGCTTGGCCGGTAGAGATGGCCAGCTCTTGCGGTGGGAAACTGGAGTTGATCCTCAGTCCGACGTTCGACTTGGGTTGTTTCTCCTTGTTTTCTGTGGTTGTACGATGAGGGTGTGGGGATGCAAGGATGGATGGATGATGGTTGTCATTGTTCTGGATGGGTTCGGATGAGGTGGGTTGGGTTTGTGATTGGGGTGATTCGGCTGAGAATGGGTTGAAGAAGGTGGTGGGCGTGTTCTTGATCTGATCGATGAGATGGATGGCCATGTATTTATGGATCCTGATCTCCTCCGAGTTTTCCTCTGTTGTGGGCTTGATAGTTTTCTCCTGGTTGGTAGGAGGCTGTTGTTGTTGTTGTTGTTGTTCGGTTGGGATTGCCTTTGAGCTCGTACTGGTGCTGGTATTGGCTGGTTGAGTGTTAGTTTTGGGTGAGAGTGGTTGGTTGTCGAGTGAGGGTAGTTGGTTGATGGCTTGCATGGTGGTAGTGGTGATTGGTTTCAGGGATCTTGTTGGTTTTGGTGTTGAGGTTGTTGGTTGTAGTTGGTTGTAGTCAGTTGATGTTGTTGTTGTGGGTGTGTTGAGGGTATGGTTGTGTTGTGATGGTGTGAGTGAGGTATTGGTGAGTGAGGGTGTGTTGAGTAGTAGTTGGTCGACCTGAGTGAGGATATGGTGGAGTGAGAGATCGGCGAGAGACATGATGATGATGATAGAGAGTGTAGAGTGCTTACGAGTTATGACAAGTTATTTACGATGTTATCCAAGACAGATACATATTTATATCGGCTGAGGGTCAAAGATGAGATTTGGGTTAGTGCTGAGTCTGTTTTGTTTTGTTTGGATGCGAACAACTTACTCACAGGATGATGATGATGTTGTTGATCAATTTGGTGTTTGGGTTTGAAGTGATGGTCAGTTGATTATCAAGTTAGATGATTAGGAAGTGAATACTGACGATGTCTCCATTTGTTGTTGTTGTTGTTGTTGTTCTTCTGTTTCTAGTTTTGGTTTTGGGGTGAAGTTGAGGTGGAGTAGTTCTAGTAAGGATAGCTGTTGTTGTTGTTGTTGTTCTGCCATCTTGAAGTTCTCTGTGGAGTGGTTCTTTTAGTTGGTTCCACTGAGAATCTGAGATGAGGCTGTGTTGTAGTGTCAAGTCAACCAAACTCATCAAATTCAAAAAGACCACCTTTGAAGATCCCAAGAAGGGGTCTCACTCTCTGATCACCAATCGGACCAGAAAAAAAAACGATCGAAAATGTGTGATAAATCATGGGTTTAACTGATATTATGGGTTTTACATAATGAATGCTATGCATTTAGATGTAGGTCACCATGATGTCATGCTATGTTTCTTATGATTTTCGATCGAGGAAGTCTTCATGACATCATTCCTCTTAGATGACATCATTCCGATGACGATCAGTTCCTGTTTTCTTTATTACTTTTGTCGATCATAGATTTTCCTTATGATCTTTCATTCTGGTGATCTTTGTTCCCTTTCTTTCTTTTCCTCATCTCGATATTCCTTGTTATTTACATTCTCCTCAGAATTAAAATACTAAAGAATCTTAACTTTAAAAACAAATTCAAAAATCTCTGTTTAAACTTATAAAAGTTTCTATAACACAAAATACTTAGTTTATTGCGTCATCTTTGGCGAGTTATCCTCTTGGATAACTTCATAGCCGTATGAGTTTGTGACGTAGTAGGCTCCCCCTCACAGTTATATCGAGATCTTTACATTTTTAGTTAGTTATAAAAAAATTTTTCGGTCATCATCTCAACTTCGACGATTTCAATTTTATCGCATCTCTCATCTATCAAATTTTTTCGGTCATCGTCGATCTTTTTTCAAAACTTTTCGACGATTCTTTCGCCTCTCTCATCATCAATCTCTTCAACCATTCGATTTCGACAGATTTTTTTCATTCTTACTTCCCCTCTCACATCATGTCTTCTTCGTCATCGCCGGAATATTCTGCCAGAATGACTTTGCCCGGCACTCCTTCTCAAAACCCGCCGACTCTTTCGCCTCATCCTGCGGCAACAGCCCCTAACTCTCCTATTCTGCCACCTGTTTCGCCAATTCTTCCGCCGGGTTCTCCGATGCCTGAAATCAATCGTCAACCTGATCCGTCCGTTCAAGATGGAGACGACGGTTCTGCGGATCGTCGACATCTTTTTCCCGAGGATCCAGGGTTTGTAAACCTTATCGCGGATTTGGGTATTCATAATCCTACGTTAGAACAAACTGTTTATTCCTTGATTCAACGATTGACTAATCTTGAATCTCAATCTCGACGAGACAAGGAGACCTTACGATCAGTCAAGGACCTGGTTAAGGATCTGTTACCGATGAGCTCCGACATCATGAAGATCAAGTTATCGGCTCAGCAAGAATCAAATCAGGCACACCAAGAGTTTCTGCAAATCCGAAACGCTGTCGATTTGATCAACTCGTCAACAAATGCTCGTTTGGTTGGTC